TTGCCACTCACGAGTATTATATGTAATAAGTTCTTGTTATGATTTTAAATAACTATGTATGTGAGAAGTGTACAAATATTATCAAAATATATTATATTATAACTGCATGATCCAATAGGGATGTCGGTCAATGTTTTAAAACTCGAACTGCTAAGTGAATTGGTGGGATATTCGGATCATGGTTCAACCGATCTAACAGGTTCAATCCCGGGTCAATAGTTTTTTAAAAAAAATAAAATATATAAATATATGTTCACAGAATAAGACATCTAGTTGACTAATTTAAGAAATCACCTAATAAAAACATAAACATTTCCAAAGAACCAGAACCTTCAAAAATAAATTTTAGTGATTAGTCTTTAGGGTCAAAAAAGTTGTTCTATTTTTTTCAGTTTAATTGACAAAAGCATAAAAATGCTAGTTCACGGTTCATTTTGGTTTGTATAGTTCACATGGGTCATATAGTTTTGACCAGTTCTTAAACCTAATCAGCCCAAAGTATGAACTAGACCAATCAACTGATCGAATCAACCAATCCGATCCGATTTTTGATGTATGACCCAAATTTATGGCTGGTTCGATGTTCGACCGATCGAATCAATAGATCCAATCCAATTTTCAAAACATTGGTATAGGTGCTACCTGTTGATTATTCATTTGGAACTGAAGTATGCGTAATTGATAGTAATACATCTAAAAATGCTTTAGGGTGAGTCTTGATGCAAAATGAGAAAGCAATTGCTTATGTGTCCTGTCAATTGAAATTATATGAACAAAAGTACTCAATGCATGATTTGGAGTTGGTGGCAGTAGTTTTTGACCTAAAAATATGGAGATATTACCTATATGGAGCGTAGTGTGAGGTTTTTGTGGATCATGAGAGTTTTAAGTATCTGTTCACACAAAAAGAGTTGAACATGAGATAGAGGAAATGGTTAGAGCTAATTAAGGATCATCATATAATGATTAATTGCCACCTAGGCAAGACGAACAAGATAGCAGATACTCTTAGTAGAAAGTCAAATACCATAAAGGATTTCTCGGTGGAAGAGCAAATAGAGGGTTTTCAACTAGAAATGGTGAACTCTCCAGTTGAAGCACTAGCTCCCTAATTCTTACACCCATCTTAATAGATAGGATCAAGGAAGCACAATACTTAGATACCGAGTTGGTTAAGATTGAAAAGAAGGTTAAGGTTGAATGCTTTGATGGATTCAAATTGGACAAGTAGAGATTGTGTGTACCGAAGGATGAGGAGCTGAAAAGAGAAGTATTGAAGGAAACGCACAACTCAGTTAGACTAAGTGTGACAACCCTACCTCGCCCTAGGGTGTACCCAAGGATTTGGCGGACTGCCTGCCCAATTCTTGCCAGGACTCACTCACTAACGTTCTTGAAATAGCCGTTCAAGTGTCAAAATTAACATATAAGTTCCATTTCCAACAAACAATTCAAATTTCATTTACAATCCAAAAGTAAAACATAGGATTACATTTCTAAAGATTCTAAATACATCTCATCTACAAAAGTACAAGTACAAGAGATTATGTACACTAGTTCACGGCTACTTGCTCCTGCCTCCATCCCTGTAAGGAAAACAAACTAATGGGATGAGCTAAAAGCTCAGTGAGGTTCCCAAAGAGGTTCCCAAACAAGCAAACAAGTAGGTAAACATGAAAACATTTACACTTAGCACTTTGCACACTTGGCACAGTGATAAACAGTCATTTAAGAATTAATCATTCATTCATTGAAAGGACATGTGCTCACTTGGAGCCATTCATTCAAATCATTCATTCATTCATTCACCAACCATTTTCTTTATCCCTCCAACATTAGAAAACATTTGCAAATGAAAACTCCTTCAGTGTTCGTGTCTTTCATTTGTTGATTTCATTGCATTGAATTCACTGGCCAGTTCTCTACTAGATTTCGTGGTAATACTCGAGCACACCAAACATTGTCCCAGAGTCACCAACCGCCCGACCGAGTCTGTTACTGGATCGAGTCAACTGGCAACGAAGGGCAAGGACCCAATTCAGCCAAAGGCTTACATCCATACACAAGTAATACTGAATCATTGAAAATTCACTTTTACTTGGGTCGAATGTGATAAAGTACGCACTCGCCCTTTGAAAATCTTTTTAACAATCATTAGAAAGCATTTAACATTCAAACAAACATTTCACATAGTCATTTAAACCATAGTCATGCAAAGAACAGTCACCAACGATTATTGTTTAGCAAAACCAATTTCAGGCCTAGCTCCTTGGCCGGATTCAAAATCATACAATCAAGTAGGATTTTCAAATATCCAACCCTCACTTGTGAATATCAAAAGAAGATCATGTGAATAGAACTTATATACATAGACTTCATGGCTTAGTGACCCCAGGCAAAATACATGCACACTTGCTTTTGTTTTAGAAAGAAAACGATCGAAACTTTTAAGTTTAAAATGTGACATACATGGCTAAAAATCATGTTTAAAATGATCATTACTTTCACCTTGAAAGATATATAATTTTGGTAAAATTTCAGCTTACATATCACCTCCAAGGTTAACTCAAACATTCCTAAGCAAGTGAAGTCCAAATCGATTACAAATCACACCTCCATGTTCACTTTCACTCTCTTATCCTTCAAGAAATGAAATGGACAGCAATTCCCCTATTTTTCTTCAATTTTCCTCCAATTTTTCAAGATAAGCTTCATGGCAAAACAACCCAATCAACTCTGCAACTCATAAGGAAAAAGGGCTTCTTACACTAGGCTGCAAAACCAACTAATTTAGATGTATCTCTACCATATAAACATAATAAATCCATGATCTAAGTATGAGATGGAGTGCAAGTAATCGACAAAGATAGGTTTAAAAATCAGAAAATGTTTCCAAGACCCTTCCAAACTTTTTGTCATTTCATAAGAAAATTTCAGTTTTTGTAACGCTTTTTGAAAAGTCATAACTTGAGTTTCGTAAGTCCAAAAATCATAAATCTTATATTATTATAAAATAGACTCAAAAGGCTATAACTCTCTAGAAGACACCTTCATAAAATTCAGTCCATAATTTAGTCAAATCTCAGCCTCAATTCACTTATCAACTAAGTGTAAAAACAGGACAGTCTTGGATTTTCAGCCCATTTTGAAATTTTTCTGATATTTATAGAAAGTGAAACAAACCATGAATTTTACACAGTTAAAAGAGCTATGAGTCTAGTTTCAAATGCAACAAATGGGAATCAATTCGGATTTTTCTACACCAAGATATAACAGATTTTCCAAGACTGCTCAGAGTCTCCTGTGGGAAAAATTTTCAGCAGCACTTCCCCTTATTTTCCCTAATTTTCAGCAATTTTCAAGGCTACACTCTCACCACAAGATAGCACCAAATCAATTTCACAAGATATAAGATACATAGAGTACTTATTTTAGTCACAAAACTAGATATAATCAATATATACCTAAGCTGAAAAATTCTCACACCAAGTTGAAAAATCACCAACAAAGCTAGAAGTCCCTCAAGTGAAGCGAAAATTACACGTATAAGCTAGACAAATCATTATGGCAGGCTTATAACTCACAGTATAGCTGGAAATACTCTACAAAAGCTGGAAATAATCAATAAAAACTGGAAATAATAGCCCACAACCTAAAACTACAAAATCAGCCATAGAACCTACCATAATCAAGCTATAACTCCCTCCAAATGCAAGATTAAAGAGATAAAGTAATTCTCAACCAAGAACACCTTCAATCCTCAAGGTGAGCAGCAAACTTCAGCTTTCTTTCTCAAGTAACTCCACCAAAAGCTTCCTTCGAAGATTGATTCAAGGTTCTATGAAGTGGATTAAGGTTTTTCTTTGGATTTCCCAAGATTCAAGCAAGAGATCAAGACTAGAACTTGAGTTATTTTCTCTCCCTTTCCCTCTCTATAATTTCGGCCATCCCAAGCTAAAAATGGAGGAGTTTTGGTTGAAATGGAAGCTTAATGAAGATAAGAGGAAAGCTTAGTCTTGATCAAGTCTTAGTCAAACTTGGTAAGCTTGTTGACAATTGGCAATAAAAGGAGAAATGTCTATCCCTTTGTCTCTCTTATGTTTCTTATAGCTAATCTATCTTGTTTTCCTCTAATACACTCTTAACACTTTTAATCACATAATTCCTCTAGCACCACACCCGTTCTCATCCACCAAATACAATGCACACATCTCACTAGTCAGTCAAACTACTATAGTACTCTATGAAACTTAACGTATACCAAAATATAAAAAAGGGAATGATAAAAATATTAACCTAACCATTAAAATCACTATCAAATTAAGGCTAGAAATAAGCAAGTAAAATAAAATTAAAAGGAAATATAAATTAGATTTTGAAAAATGGGAAAATGGCCAATTTCGTCCCTAAACTTTTTTTCCTTGTCAATTTAGTCCATGTATAATTTTTTTGGCCAATTTGATCCCTATACTTATTTAGCGGTTCCAATTCAGGAACTTCGTGGCGGCGCCACCATATAAATTCAATCAAATCATTAATTGAATAATTAAGCAGGGGTATTTTGGGCTGTTCACTATTGGGGCAGTAACAAAAGAAGTAAAATTCTTGAAGGACCCAATTCTAAACCTAGAGTTGGGTGCTGAGATTTATGTCGGCAAGATTCCAATCGAGTTTTGAGAATATCGGGGCTTTATTGAAGAAGCTCCACTGGATTTCAATTTCCTCTACTATTCTGCTACTGACTATCACCATTCGGAAATCCCTTTCCTCTACAAACCAGCAGAGCTCTTCTCTTCTTTTCCCAACTGTTTCGATACGTTTGAGGCCCAAAAAGACTTGTTCTGGAGTTGAGTGTTTTGGGGACTTCACATATAGCGATTTTTATCACTTTTTTTATTCTTCAGAGGGCCTTATACCTGATATACACCCTCTTTTCTTTTATTTTTTTGGAAGAATTTAAATTATCTTGGGTAGCTGATTTTTGTTTAATTATGTTGCAGGGATACAAGCACATTCTTGAGGATTTTCTGGGTATTGGAGGAGGTGTCAGTGGAGGAGCAAGTGGTGGTGCTGGATTTGGAAAAGGTGCAGGTGGTGGTGCTGCTGCTGGAGGCGGTGTTGGAGGAGGTGCTGGTGGAGGAGTAGGTGGTGGTGCTGGTGGAGGAGCTGCTGGAGTTGAAGAAGGTGCAGGTGGTGGTGCTGCTGCTGGAGGTGGCGTTGGTGGAGGTGCTGGAGGAGGTGTAGGTGGTGGTGCTGGTACTGGAGCTGGCGTTGGAGGACGTACCGGTGGAGGAGCAGGTGATGGTGGTAGAGTTGGAGGCAGCGCAGGTGGTGGTGCTGGTGCTGGAGATGGCATTGAAGGAGGTGCAGGGGGTGGAGTTGGGGGTGGAGCAGGCGGGGGAGTAGGAGGAGGGGCCGGTGGAGGCATTGGTGGTGATGCTGGAGGTGGAGCAGGTGGAGGTGTAGGAGGAAGGGCTGGAGGAGGCCTTGGTGGAGGTGCTGGAGGTGGGACCGGTGGCAGAATAAGAGGTGGAGCAGGTGGTGGCTTTGGGAAAGGTAGAGGTATATGAGGTGGTGCAAGTGGTGGTTTTGGGGCTGGAGGAAGTTTTGGTGAAGGGCATGGGGCATTTGGTAAGGGTGGAGGAGTTGGCGCGGGCGGTGGATTCGGAGGCGGGACTAGTCCTGGAATTGGACGTTGCAAATTGTGATCTCACTGACGCAGTTGGAAAGAAACAAAGCAAAACTGGGCAATTTTTAAGCAATGGGAAAGGAGTTTGGACAGCTTTGGAGACTTTGTTAGTCAAGAACCCAAGGTTTAGAATTGGGTCCTTCAAGTATTTTTCTTTTTTGTTACTGTCCCAACAGTGAACTACCCAAAATACCCTTACTTAATTGTTCAATTAGTGACTTGATTGAATTTATATGGTGGCGCCGCCGCGGAGTTCCTCAATTGGAACCGCTAAATAAGTATAGGGATCAAATTGGCCAAAAAAATTATACATGGACTAAATTGACACAGAAAAAAAGTTTAGGGACGAAATTGGCCATTTTCCCTTTCAAAAATAGGAGAAAATTTAAAATAATTTTCGGGTCCACACATTAAGATACACTAGAACCTAAGGAAAATTTTTGGTGGAATGAAATGAAATGAGAAATAGCCAAGTACGTGGCTAAGTACTTAGTGATTCAGCAATTTAAAGCTGAGTATCAGAGACCTGCTAGATTATTGGCAACCTTAGAGATTTCACAATAGAACTGGAAACATGTGACCATAGATTTCATAATAGGAGTACGCAAGACAGTTCACAATAATGATACTATTTGTGTTATTGTTGACTAATTGACAAAGTCTATTCATTTCCTACCAATGTTAAATAGGTTGGTTACAGAGAGATTAGTTGAAATGTACATGGAGGAAATAGTTTGCCTATATGGTTTCCCAATAAGTGTAGTGTTTGATCGAGCGCTGAGACTTATCTCAAGGTTTTGGTCAACTTACAAATAGGTCAAGGGAATGGATCTAAGATTAAGCACAACCATCTATCTCTCAACGGATGGACAGTCCAAAAGAATTATCTAAATACCTGAAGACATGTTACAAGCCTATACTTTGGATTTCTCAAATGGTTAGGATAGGCTAGTGAAACTAATGGAATTTTCTTACAATAATAGTTACCACAATGGGATTGGTATGGCTCCATTTTAGGTGTTGTACGAGTGAAAATAAAGATCTCTACTATATTGGGATGTTGTAGATAAGAAACATATCACTGGCCCTTGTTATTCTTGGTTTTGATGATCACAAAGTATTTTGAAATGTATCTAACCTTCTTCGATTATAAGTGTCTTTACATATCAAAGAATCAGGTATGAATAGGTCATGAAATGCATTTCAACCAAAAGAAGAAGCAAAAACAGGATACTCACGTCGGACGGCTGAAAGGAATCTGTCGGACGTCCGAAAGGATAAAGAGCATCAAGAAGGAAGCTCTGTCGGACGCTCGTGAGGAAGCATCGGACGTCCGGAAGGATCGGACGCTTGCCATCGGACGCTCATCAACCGCATCGGACGTCCGAAAAATTCCAAGCTAACTTGCCAACTCTCTGCCTACGATCGGACGCTGCGGTGTCGGACGATCAAGACGCATCGGACGTCCGAACGTCAATTTGGATGCCATCGGACGATTGGTTCGGACGATGATTTGATCGTCGGACGTCCGACAGCCCCAACGGCTAGTTGACTCTTCAGCTGCCTTCTATCCGTTGGAAGCATTGATGAAGCCCATTTCTGGTTCCCTTTAAAATCAAACTGGTCTGAACGAAGTACAGACTTTTGCACACTTTGTTTACAAGATCTAGTGAGATATTTTAGCTAGAAAATAGTCTCCAAAGCAGATTTGTTTTAAAGTGGTGTGAATTTCTGTTGAGCTTTTCTTTTGTGAGTGAAAGGATCTTTAGTGTAGCTCTGTTGAGGGTTTTCTGAGTGATTGTAAAACTTCTTGGCTTGACTAAGTGAGTCTTAGGGCAAGGAGGAAGTGCTCCCTCCATTGTACATCTAGTTGATCGACTTTCATCAAAGAGAAGTTGCTCTTCCTTGTGTTTGGTCTTCAAGTTTGGGTAAAGCTTGGTAGACACTTGGTTTGTTTCTCCATTTTACATTTCTGTTTAATAAAATCTTCATTGCTTATCTATACTTGCTTCTCCGATCAATATTGCTATTGTCTTCTAATCTACTAGGTTGATCATTACTAAAAAGGAAGGTAAATTTTCATTAACGAAAAAGTGCATAAACTTGGTTAAGATTTTAATCAAACCAATTCACCCCCCCCTCTTGGTTGTCTGTGGGACTAACAATTGGTATCAGAGCTTGGTCTCCTTGAGATTAAGCTCTAACGGCTTGGAGTAAAGATGACAACCAGTCATGCTATGTTTGTTGAGGGGCAATCTGTTACTAGGCCTCCCATGTTCAGTGGCTCTAACTATGTTAGCTGGAAAGAACGAATGATTATCTTTTTGCAATCTATTGATATTGAACTGTGGTTTATTGTGAGTGAAGGACCGCATGAAGCTAACTTTCTTGATGCAGATACAGGGCTGCTTCGGCCAAAAATGAGAGCTGAAATGAATGCTCAAGACAGGACTAACCTCACATTGAATGCCAAGGCCATGAATGTTCTCTATAGTGCCTTAGATTCAAATGAATCAATTAGAGTGAAAGGCTGTAAATCAGCCAAAGAAATGTGGGATAAGTTAAGAGAAATCCATGAGGGTGGTGACAATGTGAGAGAACAGAGAAAGGCCATCTTGGTCACAAAGTATGAATCTTTTAAGATTGAACCTCTTGAGGATATTGACAAAATGTTTTGCAGGTTCACTGACTTGATCAAAGATCTCGAGGTGTTGGGCAAAGAGTACACCTTGGGAGAGAAGAACAGAAAAATTCTCAATGCATTGGGCAAAGAATGGGAAAATAAAGTGACTGCAATAGAAGAGGCTAAGGATTTAAGTTCTGTGCCTATTGAATCTATCATTAACTCACTAACCTCTTATGAGTTGAAACTGAAATCTAAAGTGCAGGAGGAAGAGGATGCTAGAGCAAAGAGAAACATTGCTCTAAAGACTACTCAAGGTGAAGATGATCCAGCTCACCTGGATGATGAAGACTCGGATGGTGATGATAATGATCTTGCTCTTATCACCAGAGGCTTCAAAAGAATTTTGAATAAAAGAAAGTTTAGAAGGGGAGGTCCTAGCAATCAATTCCAGAATCAACCATCTATCGCAAAGTACAAAGGAAAACAAGATTTCAACAAGAAACAGTTGGACAAATGCTTCGAATGTGGACATATTGGACACTATGCAAATGAATGCCCCATGAAGAAGATGAAAGATGGAAAAGCTGATCGAAAGCCAAGATTCAACAACTTTCAGATTACTTGGAATGAATGCAACTCCGAAGGGGAAGTTGAAGAAGAAGAGGAATCAGCTCAAATGGCCTTCATGGCTATTGGAAATAATGAGGTAACTTCCACTCACTCGCAATCTGAAAGTGATGATGATGAAGATGATGATCTTGAATCTTTTGTTGAAAAGCTACATAATGCCTTGAAGGAATCTTATGATAAGAACAAGCTGTTAAAACAGAAAATTGCTTTTCTCATTCAAGAAAATACAAGTCTGGTTCAACAAAATAAACATCTAAAGACTGACAATGAATGCCTTGTAAGAGCCGGATGTGATGTTCAAAACGAGTTTGACAGAAAGACTAATATTTGTGAAATGCTGAAGGAAAGGCATGGTGATTTGAAGAAAAGAATGGACATCTTGGATGAAACTTTGAAATCAAGAAAACAGGATTTTCTCAAAAGAAACATGTCATCTACTCATCCTTCTGCTTGTCCAAGAACATTTGCTCACAACAAAATTGCACATGGCTTCACAACATATAGAAGAGGTGGATTGAGATATATCAAACCAGTACATGTTAAGAACTCTTTCATTATGTGTGATTTCTGTTGTCAAAGAGGGCATTTGAAAGGAGATTGCTATGTGAAAAGAAATCAGAACAAAGGGATGAAATGCATGTGGTTAGTTAGATACAATGCTAACTATTATGGACCCAAAAATTAAAATGGGTACCAAACACCTTATTTTTTCAGGAAAAAGGATCAAACAAGTCCAAATGGTTTATTGATAGCGGCTGCTCAAGGCACATGACCGGTGATCCCTCTCTATTCATAAAGCTGAAATCAAGATCAAGTGGAAAAGTGACATTTGGTGATGATGTGAAAGCTAAAACAATTGGAATAGGTGATGTTGGTAAGGATGGTGAAACTTTTGTTCATAATGTGCTCTTAGTTGATAACTTGGGTTATAATTTGCTTAGTGTTAGTCAATTGTGTGATAAAGACTTGAATGTGTTGTTTAGAAAGCATGAATGCATTGTACTTGATTCCAAATACAATGTTGTGTTCAAAGGTAAGAGGTTCAACGACATTTATATTGTGGTTCTTGATAAAATTGATTCTTCTAGCTTAACATGTCTTAAAGCTTCAAATGAAGATCCTTGGTTGTGGCATAGAAGACTTTGTCATTTTAACATGGAGTTACTAAAGGAAATTTCGAAAAAGGAGCTAGTTAGAGGCTTGCCAAAAATCAGTTTTGAAAAGGATAAAATATGTGATGCATGTCAATTTGGAAAACAAACAAAAGTTTCTTTTAAACCAAAGAAGTGTGTATCTACTTCCAAACCTTTAGAACTCTTGCATCTTGACTTATTTGGCCCTACTCAAATCTCTAGCTTGGGTGGTAAGAAATACTGTTTTGTGATTGTAGATGATTATTCTAGATACACTTGGGTAATATTTCTTGCTCATAAGGATGATGCATTCAAGAATTTCACTTCATTGTTTGCTAAAGTGCAAAATCTGCTTGGATTAAAAATTGTTAGAATTAGAAGTGATAATGGAACAGAATTCAAGTATTGTGGTTTTCCAGAATTTTGTGATCATAATGGCATAACTCATGAGTTTTCTATTGCAAGAACTCCACAGCAAAATGGTGTTGTAGA